ATATGTATTATATGAAGGTCCATATAATATTTTTAATTTTGTGTCTGGCTTATTTCACTTCATATACTGTTTTCAATGTTCACTCATGTCATACCATATATCAGAAATTTATCTACTTTTATGACTGAATAATTTTCATACATTCCATATAGGGTTTCTAAGGAGCAGCTGGTGAGCTTGAACTGCTGACCTTGTGGTTAAAGTTAACTTTGCAATCCAACACATTAACTCACAGTGCCATACCGGGACTCCTCACTGTTATATAGTATGTTTTTAAATCAGAGAGTATGAGTCCTCCTACTTTGTTCTTCTCGTTTGGTATTTTTTTTTTTTTTTCAGCTATCGGCATCCTCTTGCTTTTCCATACCAAGCTGAGGATTGGTTTTTCTATATATGAAAAGAATGCTATTAGAATTTTGATTAGGATTGTGTTGAATCTATAGATCACTTTGAGTAGTACTGATATCTCAACAATACTAAGTGCTTCAATCCATGAATATGGAACGTGTTTCCATCAATCTAATCCTTGTTAGGCTCTTTTGGCATGTTTTGTAGTTTTAATTGTGTAAGTACTTTTCATCCCAGGTCACATTTATCCTTAAGCATTTTCTTTTCATTTAGATTCTACTGTAAATGGAATTATTTCCTTAATTTCCCTTTCAGATCTCTCACTGTTGGTATGTAGAAACACAATTGATTTTTTAAACGTTTTTATTGTGAATTGAGTGAAGGTTTACAGAGAAGAGCATCCATTTTACATTCAATGGAACACATACTTTGTTTCATCTCAATGATTGTAATCCCGTCTATGTGTCAATAGTTACCCAGCTTCCTCCCTGTGGAATAATGTGCATCACATTATCTTTCTCATCCCTTCTTAACTTTGTCCATAGGTAAATGTTACTTTTTTGATCTTGAATAGTTGACCATTCCGTAGTGAGCATACCTTACTAGTGTTGTTGTCTCCCCTATATACCTATCTACTATTTGGCTGAAATTTGGACCATGAAGATGAGCTGTGCTCTAGAGCTGAAGGGTGGTCGATGTTCCTCCAGTCTCTTTCTGACCAGTAAACCCAGTCTTCTTTTCTTTCTTTCTCGGTTTCTCTTTTTCTTTCTTTTTATTTATAATTTTGAGTTTGTTTCATATTTTCTCCCATTCTGTTGGAGCCTTCTAATGTGATTCCTTTTAGAGCAGTTGCTAGTGGTAGCCAGGCACTATCAGGTTCTTCTGGTCTCCGAGTTGTGGTGATGGATGCTTACATGTACCATTGGTCCACTGGATTAGTTGATTCCAAGTATCTTCAGTTTTCATCATTCTTTCTTCCTCATATGGAGAGATGAATAGATGCAGCTTAGATCTCAGCTCATGAGCTTTTGTGATTTCAGTCGCTGCTCACCAAGTGGGATGTAGAATAATGTCTTTGAGAGCTATATTATGCCAATTGACCATGGTGTTCCCAGAGTCTATGGGCCTGAACTCCCAGGGCCAGAAGTAATTGCTTTAAGATGTTTGGTAATGTCTAAAAAGTTTTCATCATTTTTCCCTGTTTGCTCCACCTTGTTCATAGGTGTGAAATCAATTGATTAATGTTTGTTGATTTTGGACACTGTAACTTTGCTAAATTCCTCTATTAGTTATAGATTTTTTCTTGAGAAATCTGGGATTGTATGATTTTGTAGCAATGTCTTTCACTTACCCTCGGATTTTCAATCTCTTCATATGCATGTGAAGGCTGGACAATAAATGTGAAATCCTTAAGAAGAACTGATGCCTTTCATTTATAGCATTGAGGAAGAATACTGAATACACTGGGACTACTAGAGGAACAAACAAATCTATCATGGCAAAAGGACAGTCAAAATGTTCTTTGGAAGTGAGGGGTTTATCTCATATACTTTGGATATGTTATCAGAGGAACCTGTTCCTGGTGAAGGACACCGTATTTGGCAAATAGAGGGTCACTTAAAAAGAGGAAGACCCTCAATGTGATGGACTGACATAATAGCTGCATCAGTGGGCTCACATGTAACAATTGAGAGGATGGTGTAGGATTGGGCAATGTTTAGTCTTGTAGATGTGGTCCTTAAGACTCAAAATCAACTGAATGGCAATTAACAACAACAACAATAGCTAGATAGGAAGTATCCCTGGCGATGCAATGATTAAACACTAAAAGCTTGGCAATTTAAACTCACCAGCTGCTTTTTAGGAGAAACATATGGTGGTCTGCTTCTATAAAGATTTACAGCCTTAGAAACCCTATAGGTTTTATATGAATAGGTTTGGTTTTTACTTGAAGGCAGTGAGTTTAGTTTTTAGGTTTATAGCGAGGTAGCTAGATGGAGAGACTGCTGGTGATGATTTTCTTCAATCTGCTTTTCTAAGTTTTGTACTGTGAATAGGTTACTTCTATCAACGGAAAAATACACTTTATTTTAAATTATAATTACCACCCACCCTTTTAAACTTAAACTAAAATTAATTTGCATGCTGATTTTATTGGAAGTCCTGAGGCTTTTATCTCTATTCTATTAGACTGAAAAATAGGCACTTCAGATTTTAGCTTCTATCTTGATGCTAATACAGACGTTTTAGTATTTGTATAATAACCATTATCAAACAGAACATTGTTTAGTTACTGTCTATGCAGGAGCTTGTGTTGGGTGAGGGATACCCAAAGGATATTATAAAATGTAGGAGTCCTGTGCACAGGAGAGTCCTGGTGTGCTACTGTAGAATAAGCACTTGACTGTTAGCCACTAGGTTGACAGTTCACACCCACCAGTCACTCTTCAGAAACCCTATGACAGAGTCACTATGAGTCAGAATTGATTCGATGGCACTTAACAATAACAACTGTGTGCAGGGGTTCAGGCTGTACTGCATAAACGCCCATCTAAAGGAATGCCATTGGTGTGGCTCTGCGGGTTAATGTGCTGGACAAAGTCAGTCTGAACTGCAAGGTCAGTGGTTCAAGCTCACCAGCCACTCCTTGAAAACCCTATACAGGGTTGCTATGGGTTGAAACTGACTGGAGGCACTTAACAACAATAACAAGAGCAACACTTGGGAGCACCCACTGGACAAAGTTGAGTGTAGCTCAGCTATACTCAAGCACAGGTGTTCACAAGTGATGGTCTTGTGCTCTACCCCAGTCCTGCTGAGCAGGTACTTCTGCCCACTCTCACAGGTTAGACCCACCACTCTACCTGCTTCAGGTACCATGGGGAAGGAAGCATGACGTGTGTACAGCACTGCTGTGTGTGTGGCTTGGTGTTAGCGTGTGAGCACGGTATATGGACCAGGTCTGCTGTCTGCCTTGCAGATTCTAGAAAGGTGTTTAAAGGCCTGACTGGTATACTAATGTGAGTGTTTAGCCTGGCACTCATATACTCAACTGCTTTATTTATTTTTTTCCCTGACAAAAGATATCATTTTTCATTCTGCTTGATGTTGGCACTTTTAAGCATTGCAACACTTACTGTTGGTAGTGAGGATGACTTCTCCTTCCTGGGAAATGGGGTCTGAATCCTGGACTACCTGCAAGGCTCCCACAGTCCGGACAGTAGGGTCCAGAGTAACTGAACTCTCGTTCACTGTCGTATCGCTGGCACCTGTGATCTGATTGGTCGGTGGGCCTCCCAGAGAGCCCTCGAAGTCAACGGGCAAGTTGTCCATGCAGTCGGCATTGGGCTGACAGAAGTAAAAAAATAATCTGCTTTTAGTATATGTACTCAAAATGTCCACAGTCTAGAAAGTTGTCTCAGCTGAAAATTAAGCTCTTTATTCTTTTCTTCCTGAACTACCTTATTTAAAAATATTCCACATAGTTTCTATGAAATGAACATTAAAAGATCTTCCAGAATTCCCTTTTCAGAGGTTTAGAACTGTAAGAGTAGAAATACCTATACATTAAAATAATTACTTTTGAGGACAATAGGATTGACTTATATTGATAGCACTTCCTTGCATACAGTGCTTATTTTCTATATCAGGTTCTTGCTGTGGTGCTGTTGGTTAAACATTGGACTGTTAACTGCAAGGCCGGTGGTTCAAATCCATCAGTTGATCCTCAGAAACCCTATACAGTGTCACTATGAGTCACATCCGACTCGACAGCACTTAACAACAACAACATTCCCCACATCAGACCCATTACTTACAAATACAGTAATAGCACAGTAGTGGGGGTGGGGAGAATAGTATCTGACTCATGTGCTCATTACAGATACACACATCCACACAACCACACACAAAAGGTTTTTTATTTTTGTTTTTAAACATAAACTGAAAACACAAGCTGTAGAAAGATATTCCTATTTACTTAACCTGCAGTTGATCATTTATATTAGTGAAATTCTCTACATTAAAATCTTGGAATCATAAACCTAGGATGAGCCCATTTTATCCACTCGTATACTTTGTCTCCACTGTTCTACTTGAACAACAAAGAAATGAGAAGCTTTCTATTGTATAAGAGAGCCTGTGTTGGCCAGGGTTGTTAGACTAGTCTACAGTTGGGCAAAATCTTGGTTTTAGGACTGCTGTTTGAAGTGATATCTATACTTGTTCCTCATGATTGCCTTTAATTTACTTTTAATTGTTATGCCTTTACCCAAACTTAGAAAAATTGTTTTTAAAATGTAGAGGAATATGTTCTTGAGAGTATAAAGAATAAGTATTAATTTAATTTTCTTGCTTTGGCCTGAATTTTAACTTTGTCTTAAAACTCACTGTCATCCAGTAAATTCTGACTCATAATAACCTTTTTGGAGCAGACAGCCTCATCTTCTTTCCCGAGAGGCAACTGGTGGGATTGAACTGCCAACCTGTGTGTGGTTAGCAGCTAAACACTTAAACCCACAGCACTGATTTTGCCTTGAGGAACAATAATCACATGTTTTTTTTGCACATCCAATGTAAGTAGGACTCCAGGTGTGGTACACTGTAGGATTAGCACTGGACTGTGAATCACAAGGTCGACAGTTCAAACCTACCAGGTATTCCTTGGAAACCCTATACAGGGTCGCTATGAGTCAAAACTGACTCAATAGCACTTAACAACAATGTAAGTGGATCAGGGTGGACAGGGTTGGTGAATGCTCTGGTATGGCACTGTAAGATAAACGCTGGGCTGCTAACTGCAAGCTCGATGGCTCAAACTCACCAGCTGCTCCCTGGAAACACTTTTTTTCAGAACCTACTTGAGGGTACTTAGCAACAACAATAATACTTCATAGACTCATTGAAAGTACAAGGCACGAAATCCACAGCGCTGGAATCTTGTCCCAGCTTTCTGATTCTAAGCTGTGTAACACCAGTCTCCTGCATTCTACATCCGTGTTTCCAACAGTCTGTTGGAAATTTCCATCTCACCAAATTTGCAGTTCAGTGGTTCTCATCCACAACTCATTCCTCTCTCCTTTGCATCCCCTCTTCTTTGTGCGTCCTCTATTGCTACACTGGGCTAATTCACTAAAACAGTTTTCCCAAAGTCAATTCATTCTGTCCAAGTTATCAAACTTATGAAGTGTACTGATTGTTAGATTGGAAGTGAGTATGTATGCTTATGAACATTTCTCTTCCTGTCACCAATTACCAGTCTCCATATTTCCTGTTTTTTTCCTTTCTGTCAATTCTCAAATGTATTCTATTTTCCAGTCTCTCACCACAGTACTTTAAAACAAAACGAAAACCCATTGATAAGATTCTCCCTTCCTTCTAAGGAATGAAACTGCATTTGCCAGCCTTCTTAGCATGTGCAAACAAAAGTTCTATAGCCTGTCCTTAGCTTACCTTTCTGACTTCAACTTCAGCCTTTTGAAACACAGAACACACCATATATGTCCTTGACTTTTAATACTTTTGCTAATGCTGTTCCTCTGCATATACACTGTTGGGTCTAATTACCTCCTTTCCCCACCAAGTTCTCAATTGTTGTTGTTGTTGTTAGGTGCCATTGAGTTGGCACCGACTCATAGTGACCCTACCCACAGCAGAACAAACACTGCCTGATCCTGGGCCAACGTCAATATTGTTGCCACTCTTGAGTCCATCGATGTTGCCACCTGGCCAATCCATCTCATTGAGGGTCTTCCTCTTTTTCTCTGACCCTCCACCTTACCAAACATGATATCTTTCTCCAGCATCTGGTCCCTCCTGACAATTTTGTCTGACCACTCGTCTGTCAGTTTGTCGTACTGTGGTGGTTTGTGAGTTGCTGTGATTCTGAAAGCTATGCCACCGGTATTTTAAATACTAGCACGGTCACCCGAGGTGAGCTTCCAGATGAAGACAGACTAGGAAGAAGGCGTGACAAACTACTTCCGAATATTTAGTCACTGAAAACCTTATGAATAGCAGAGAATCAAGTTCTCAATTAGACCTTTTAAATTCTCAGATCAAATGTCACTTTTTTCTAAGCAGTGTTCCCTCCCCGTCAGTCATTCCTGGCTGGAGTTGTAGCTCTTGATGTGGTATTTGTTTCCGTGTGTTATGGTTACTTGTTAATATGCTCTTCTAATTTCACTAATATAAACATATTATATTGATCGTGAATTCCAAGCCTCTAACAACATAGGGCCTCATAATGATTAGGTGTTTAGTAAGAATTGATTTGAAAATTCTATCTGAGTCTCAGTTTCCTGCTCTGAAAATTTGGGATGTTAATATCAAGTTGGGGGGAATTTGAGAAAACACTTTAACTGTAGAATTCTGTGCAAAGATAAGGTATGTTATTGGTAAAAAGACTCATGCTGTTGTCAGGTGCCATCGATTTGGTACTGACTCATAGCGACCTTATGCACAGCAGAATGAAACACTGCCTGATCCTGAGCCAACCTCACTATTGTTGCCACACTTGAGCCCCTTGATGCTGCCACTTGGCCAATCCATCTCGCTGGTTATCTTCCTCTTTTTCTCTAACCCTCCACCTTACCAAACATGTTGTTGGTAAGTGCCGTCAAGTCAGTTCCAACTCATAGTTACCCTGTATAGGGTTTTGAAGGAGTGGGTGATGGGTTTGAACAGCCAACTTTGCTTATCCTATAGCACCATAGGACTCCGAAAAGCTAATAAGCAAAATGAATTTTGTGTGTGGTATCAGAAAAGAAAAGACCTCAAAATGAGGTAGTTGTGCTGGCTGCTTTTTCAGCCATAAATATTTGAATGCAATGCATATATGCAATAGCAATTTGACACATATTTCAAAATATTAACCTTGGTTGTTAATATTCTTTTCTGTCTACATTTCCTTAATAATAATCATTTGGCTGAGATATAATATTTGGTAGATCAATTTTATAGTATCTCAGTTTATATCCACTCTAAAAGGTTCATCAAATAGAATTAGTATTTTGAAAAGAAACCCAATTTATATACTTTACCATATGATAAGCACTGGACTGTGAACCACGAGGTCTATGATGCAAGCTGCCCCCTGCTCCTTGGGAGAAAGATGAGGCTTTCTGCTACGGCGATGACTTAAAGCCTCAGAAACCCTATACAGCATCGCTATGAGTCAGAATGGACTAAATGGCACTTACCAACAACAGAAAGAGAAGTCGCGAGCCCTGGTGGCACTGGACTGGTAACCACAAGGTCAGCAGTTCAAACCCACTAGACACTCTTGGAAATACAAGGTCACCAAGAGCCAAAACTGACTTAACTGATGTCATCCAACAAGAGAAGTCACAGTTTTAATGTTTAGGAAAACATGTCAAATATTATCTGTCAGTGATTAGACATGAGTATTCAAATTCAGTTCAGCTATGGGAAACTCCCTTTAAAAGATTAAATGCTAAACAGTTAGGGACTTTTGAATATACCAGCTTCACAGGATTTCCTATTGTATAGTAACCATCTATTCATAACAGAATAGTAATAGTTGGATGAGGTGTTTGCTGGGATTTGAAAAACCCAGGTTATTTCGTTTTATAAGTTAGAACCAATTTGACAGTATTTAACACTCAACAATAACAACATAGGAGCATTCACTGAAACTACATTTGCCATCCTACAAAGTAAGGCCTAGGTCTGATGGGATAGAAATTAAGGTGAAGAACTGTAATGTAGATACTAGGATAAAAATTACTTCTGACAATAAAGGACCTTTTTTGTGTGTCTTTCTTTCAATTCACTGTTTTATTTCTCTTGGCAAAATATAATGGAAAAAGGTACCCTTTATACTGGGAATTTCATAGTCTGTGAACTGTGCTCTCATCCTTAAGCTCATTTCAGAGAAATTACTTTCAAAATGGAAATGTACCTAACCCTTGGCTTTTAACTTATACTTCCATGCCTTAATAGGTCAGCCAGGGACCAAGATGTTCAATAAAAACAAAACAAAGCAAAAGAACCTTACCATCTGTATTTGAATAATCTAGTGGATCCGTATCGTAATCTAGTCATTTGTGAATGGACACTGTTCAAAGGTGAATCATAGTGGAGTTCACTAATATGTCTCTGTGACCCATAGCCTTCAGTTTGAAGGGTTCCAATTCCACAAACATCTGTTATGCACTTAGCATATGTAAGGGGCATGGAGGTAAAGGACCAGCAGGCATGGGTTTTCCTTGGATAAGAAGAAATGGAGTTTAAGGCATTTAGGAAGTATTTAAGACAAGTTTTTTAACCCTTGTATGTCTGAATAATTTTCTGCTTTTAATTTTTTATTGATACCATTTGTTTTCAGTAATGAAAGGCATGCTTAAATCAAGGAAAACATTTTTTGGAAGGAATATGGATTTTGATAAAATTGTATGGGATGTATATGTCTTAAGAGGACTCTACTGGTAGGCTAGGTGGGGTGAAGCCCATTTCTTCAGATGCATAGAGTTATACAGGTTTTGCCAGGTGGTAGCATGCACTACAACTGAGATCACAGATTCCTAAGAAATCTGGTAGACAGAAATTGTAAGTGGGCAATATATGTCCCACAGATATGAAAGTGTTAAGCTGAAAAATAAAGGATTTAAATTAGGTATACAGGAAGTGTTTTGTAATTGAAAGCTGTGCACTTGTTAAATGAGATGGAAATTTTAAAGATTAGAATCTTTGTTATAATTCCGTTTCAGTGCTCCACAATGGCAGGGAGATCGAGTAGAACAATATAGAGTATTCCTCAAAAATTCAGACTTCATAGCATCCTCTGGGACAGAACTAAACAAGCCTTGAGCAGACAGGGAGAGTAGCCATATGCCTTGGGACTCTGTGACAATCAGCTCACTCCATGTGCCTAATTCTTCATGGAGGATGTTCTGTTCCATGGGACATGCTTGGATGAGTGTCATGTTCCCCATTAGCTGGCTTTCAGAAATCCTTGGCCAAATCTAAATGCTACTACTGATGGTTATTTTTTGGGAGCCTAGTGTGCTAAGTAAAACTCCATCCAGATTTGGTAGGCATCAAAACATGGCTTTAATACCAAACTGCTAAACATGACAATGTTAAGTAGTTTGGGAAAGAAACCAAAAGGCTACCTGATAATTCTATTATAAAACCAATTAATAACTCTATTCTTATACTGAGTAATAGAAACTAGTTCAAATGATGTAAATGTCTTTAACTCTGAGCATTCTAAAGATTTTGGAGATCAAAGACAGAGAGACAGACACATACACACACATTCCCTCCACTTCCACCTCTTCACCAACCTGCCCATAAGAACCAGTTATAGCCAGAAATGTTGAAAGTGGAAAAACTGAGTTAAGCTCAATCTTGTAAGTCACCAATATCTGGTAGAAATGTTGGGCTCTCAGCAATGTTTTATACCTACTGTAATTGATTTTCACCTTGAATGCATTATATATTTGCAACTCTGGTCTGAAAATTTAATGCACTGTACTGCCTTTAAAAATCTAGTTCAGAACTGTAGTCCCACAAGTTAATTTGCGTTCAGTGTATCAACCATGCAAATCAGCACACAGCTGGTCTGGAGGCAGCTGGTGCAGGGGGAGAAAACCTGGCCAACTCATGTCCTCTTCAAGCTTCAGGTGTGTACTCTCCAGCAGAGTCACCCTGATATTCTTTAAATAAAAAGAACCCTTGGTATCTGGTCTGATCTTGCCTTCTCCACTAACCTCTGGTGACAATTAATATTCTCTTTATTCTTTGTCATTAGCAATGAAGAGTAATAACAGGGAGGTTGCAGCAAAATGGAGGGGGTGAGTGGGGAAGTCTGGCATCGTTAGTCTGTTTGTGTAGCTTCTTTTCAACAGTGCTTTTTGTTTTTCTCACAAATCTCTTGTGAAGACCTCAAATTTGGTGGCCTGGCTTGCTTCCCACCCTTGTCTGCTTAAGAGTGGGGGGATAAATGGAGCAGCTGATGTCTCACCAAAAGCAATTTGTGGACTTCCCTTGATATGGCCCTGAGAAAGGAAGCTGGCGGGATTCTCATCACACTTGGGGAGAGACTAATTTTTATAAAACATATAACTGAGGGAACCAGCTTGACTCTAGCTTTGGTTTCCTTAACTCAAGGTCTCCAAAGAGCTGAGTTCATAGCACACAGGCACTCTGAGCTGGATCCCAGCCACTGTCCTTCCTTAATGTAGTTGGGAAGAGCTCAGTTCCTCTGAAAGCTTGGTGATTAGGGAAAGTGTGTATGCAGATCACCTGGACCACCGAGCAGGGGTGATGACACACGAGAAGTAATCCGTGTGCAACTGACCTATCACACCTCTGTGATGCCCCATCTCCACTCACACACTGCAGCCCAGAAAAGAAGCCTATCAACTGCATAAGCAGCATCTTGCCTCATAAATGGACCTGGTGAAAGGGGTAGTGATGGTCTCAGACTGAGAAAAAGTGAGAGGAGAAATACTTTCAGAAGTGAGTGTTGGTAAAATCCTTGGAGCTTCCTCAGATGATGCCACTGCAATGTGATTGAGGGCACATACAGGCAGGTATGCTGTTTTCTCCCTACTTTGGGGTGACGCAGAAAGACAGACATAGTGATGCTGTAGGCTGGGCTGTGCTTACCGGGATCCCTAGGGCTTTAAGAATGTTCATCTTGCACATGGGACAGGTACGATGGTCTAGAAGCCAGGGGTCAACACAGGACTTGTGGAAAAGATGCCTGCAATGAGAACCATACATCTTAGAGCGGAGGTAACTACAGAGACTATCTAGTCCACTAAAGCCCGGCAACTTGTCCAAGGTCACTCAGTTATTCAGAGCAAAGACTCGACCCTTGATCTCCTAAGTCCACGGCCAATGTGTTGTTTCCTATTATACCTGATGCAGTATAGTCAAAATTCATCTGGATCCCAGGAGCGTTGGATATTATTTATAATTGAGTCTTCCAAGCTTGAGTCTTCATAAATATAGAAATGGGGAGTTTGTGTGTTTGTTTTTCTCAACAGAAAGAATGTTTAAAGGAAAGAATGAGAATAGAGAAAGTGTACACACCTCACTGGGTGACTTGCTACAAGCTACTTTAAAATAAATCCAATTTCTTTCTTTCTTTTCTTTAGACAGAAGATAACGACAAAGCAAAGATTGGTTTCCATTAATATTTGGGATCTAACAAACAAAGGGATGGAGAGCTCCTGAAGTATGGACAACAGAGACACCATTTTGAGTGATTACGGCAACAGCATTTAGGAAGTATCACATTTTCAATTGAAATTAAAGAACCCAGTATAAAGGATCAAATTGGGGATTAGAAAATGATTACTATTTAGGATGCTCTGCAGATTTCTTACTTGAAGATATATATCCCACTCATTATTTACTCATGCATTCTTTTATAATTCATTCATTCAATCAGTTGTTTATGTCAGGAACTGTGCTTAACACTGCTATTAAAAAGATTGTATAGAGGTAAGGGTTGAAATGGCTTTTGTGGGCAAGAACCAAGCAAACTTTGTCATAAATCCATTTACAAGAAACAACAGCATGTTGAATTGAAATTTAGGCAAGTTTTCCTAATCAGCATGAATTAGCATGAGTTAAAAGTCCTTAACAGTATAAATGAACAACACTCATCCAATCAAGAAGGAGTCCTGATGGCATAGTGGGTTAAATGTTGAACTGCTAACTGTAAGGTCAGTAATTTGAATCCACTAGGTAGTCATCAGGAGAAACATGAGGCTTAATGCTCTCGTAATATTTACAGCCTCAGAAACCCAATACAGGTTATGAATAGTAATCAACTCCAGGGCACACATCCATCCAATCAAGATAAGCCAGTTTAGCATTCAGAGACCTATTAGTTAAATATTATTAACTAATCAATTCACAATTAAATGTTATTAACCAGTCAACACAGATCAAGAGGCGTTGTCAGAACAGAACAAGAGGAAATGGAATGACTGAAAATCAGAAAAGGTGCATGTAAGGGTTGTATCCTTCCACCACAGTTATTCAATCTGTATGCTGCATAAATAACTTGTTGTTGTTAGGTGCCATCGAGTTGGTACCAACTCATAGCGACCCTATGTACAGCAGAACGAAACACTGCACAATCCAGGGCCAACCTCACTATCATTGCCACGCTTGGCCAATCTATCTTGAGGGGATCTTTCTGTTTTTCTCTGACCCTCCACCTTACCAAACAGCATATCTTCCTAACAATATGTCAGTAGTATGACAGATGAAGTTGGCCATCCTGGCCTCTAAGGAGCACTCTGCTGCTCTTCTTCCAACACAGATCTGTTGGTTCTTCTGGCAGCTCATGGCACTTGCAGTATTCTCCAACACCATAACTCAAAAGCATTAATTCTCCTACGGTCTTCCTTATTAACTGTCCAGCTTTCGCATGCATATGAGGTGACTAAAAATACCATGGCTTGGAACAGGTGCACCTTAGTCTTCAAGCTGACATCTTTGCTCTTCAACACTTTAAAAGGCATCAGATTTGCCTAATGCAATACGTTGTCTGATTTCTTGACTGCTACTTCCGTGTATGTTGATAGTAGATCCAAGAAGAATAAAGTCCTTTATAACATCAATCTTTTCTCCATTGATAAGAATGTTGTTTATTGGTCCAGTGGTGAGGATTTTTGTTTTCTTTACATTGAGATGCAATCCATACAAAAGGCTGTGCTCTTTGATCTTCATCAGTAAATACTTTAAGTCTTCTTCACTTTCAGCAAGCAAGATTGTATCATCTGCATATTATTGATTGTTAACCAGACTTCCTCTAATCCTGACACCACGTTTGTTTTTTTTTCATATAACCCAGCTTCTTGGATTATTTGCTCAGCATACAGGTTGAATAAGTATAGTGAAAGAATATAACCCTGTCGCACACCTTTCTTAATTTTAAACCATTCAGTGTTCCCATGTTCTGTTTGAAAAACTATCTCTTGGTCCATGAGCACAATAAAGTGTTCTGGAATACTCATACTTTGCAATGTTGCCCATAGCTTGACATGATCCATACAATTGAAAGCCTTTGTGTAGTCATTAAATCATAGGTAAACATCTTTCTGATATTCTCTACTTTCAGCCAAGATCCATTGGACATCAGCAATGATACCGCTCATTCCATGTCCTCTTCTGAATCTGGCTTGAACCTCTGGAAGTTCTCTGTCAATGTATGCTTGTAGACAATTCTGTATTAATTTTAATAAAACTTTACTCACATGGGATATAAAAGATATTGTCCAATGATTTCCACATTCCATTGGGTCACATCTCTTTGGAATGGGCACAAATATGGATCTCTTCCAATCAGTTGGCCAGATAGTTGTCTTCCAAATTTCTTGGCATAGATGAGTGAGTGCCTCCTATGCCAAGTCACTTTCTTGAAAGATTTTAGTTTTTATTCCATCAATTCCTGCTGCCTTGATCTTTGCCAATTCCTTCAATGTACCTTAGACTTCCTCCTTCAGTATCATTGTCTCTTGATCGTATGCAACCTCTTGAAATGGTTGAACATCAACCATTTCCTTTTGTTGTAGTGACTATGTATTCCTTCCATCTTCTTTTGATACTTTCTGCATCATTCAAAAAATTTGCGCAGGGATTCTTTCATTAATGAAAATCAAGGCTTGAATTTTTTCTTCAGTTCCCCCAGCTTAAGAAATGCTGAGCGTGTTCTTCATTGTTGGTTTTATGACTCCAGATATTTGCACATTTTGTGGTAGTATTTGGCTTTATCTTCTTGAGCTGATCTTTGAAATTTTCTGTTCAGCTCTTGTACCTCTTCGTTTCTTCCATTTGTTTTAGCATCTCTATGCTGGAGAGCAAGTTTCAGTGTCTCTTCTGACATCCATTTTGATCTTTTCCTTCTTTTTCGTCTTCTTAATGATTTTTTTGCTTTCTTCCTGTATGATGTTCCTGATGTCATCCCACAACTCTTCTGGTCTTTGATCTTTAGTGTTTAATGTATCAAATCAGTTCTTCAGATGATCTCTAAATTCAGGGGGTATGTATTCAAGGTCCTATTTTGGCTTTTGTGGACTTGTTTTCATTTTCTTCAGCTTCAGTTTGAATTTGCGTAGAAGCAAATGATGGTCTGTTCCACAGTCTGCCCCTGGCCTTGTTTTGACTGATGATATGGAGCTTTTTCATCGTCTCTTTTTGCAGATGGAGTCAATTTGATTTCTATGTGTTCCATCTGGTGTGATCCATGTATATAGTCATCTCTTATGCTGTCTAAAGAAGGTATTTGAAATGAACAAATCATTGATTTTGTAGAATCCTATCATGCGTTCTCCAACATCATTTCTATCACCAAGGCCATATTTTCCAACTACTCATCCTGCCTCTTTGCTCCCAACCTTTGCATTCCAATCACCAGTCATGATCAATAAATCTTGTTTGCATGTTTGATTAATTTCAGATTGAAGAAGTTGGTAGAATTCTTCTGTTTCATCCTCAGTGGCTTTAGTAGTTGGTGTGTAAATTTGAATAATAGTGGTATTAACTGGGCTTCCCTGTAGGTGCATGGATATTATCCTATAACAGACAGCATTGTACCTCATGACTGATCTGGATATGTTGTTCTTTTTGATGATGAATGGAACGCCATTCCTCTTCAATTTGTTATTCCAGGCGTAGTAAACCATATGGTTGTCAGATTCAAAATGGCCAATACCAGTCCATTTAAGCTCACTAATGCCTAAGATACTGATGTTTATGCGTTCCATTTCATTTTTAACAATTTCTAATTTTCCTAGATTCATAATTCGTACATTTCATGTTCCAATTATTAATGGATGTTTACAGCTGTGGCCCCATCAGCAAATGAAGGTCCCACGGGCTTTACTCCCACAGGCTTTACTCCATTTGTGTTATCATGGTCAACTCTACTTTGAGGAGACAGCTGTTCCCCAGTCACATTTTGAGTGCCTTCCAACCTGGGGGGCTCATTTTTCAACACTATATCTAACAGTGTTTCTCTGCCATTCATAAGGTTTTCATTGACCAAAAATTTGGAAGTAGTTCGTCACTCCTTCTTCCTAGTCTGTCTTTGTCTGGAAGCTCATCTGAAACCTGTCCACCATGGGTGACCCTGCTGGTATTCAAAACACCGGTGGCATAGCCTCCAGAATCACATCTACTCACAAACCAGCACAGTACGAGAAACTGACAGATGTGTGATGGAAATAACTTGAGAAGGTGGATTATATGAAGAAGAATATGACATCGGGATTGGCAAAGAATCATTAACAACCAATGATATGCTATTGATACAACCTTGCTTGCTGGAAGCAAAGAGGACTTAAAAGACTTCCTTATGAAGATCAAAGACTACAACCTTAATTATGGATTATACCTTCATGTAAAGAAAACAGAAATTCTTGATAAATGGAGAAAAGATTGAAGTTGTCAAAGATTTCACTTTGCTCAGGCTCACAATCAACACTCATGGAAGCCGTAGCAGTAAAAAAAAAAATCAAAAGATGGATTGCATTAGGCAAATCTGCTGCAAAAGACTACTTTTCAATGTTAAAGAGAAAAAATATAATTTGAGATTGAAGGTGCACTTGACCCAAGCAATGGTATTTTCAATTGCTCCATATGCATGCAAAAGTTGGACAATGAATAAGGAAGATTAGATTATGGTGTTGGAGAAGAATAGTCAAAGGACCATGGACTCTCAGAAGAGCAAACAAATCTGTCTCA